CAGACTGGTAAGGGGAGACTCCGTTAGGCTCATCCCAGTAACAGGGTCAGGAAGATGTCTGGAGGGCAGGGGTAGTGGATGCCTTAGATAACACTTGCCATCAATTATGGAACTCTTAGGTGTGGGAGGCCATTTGCCAAGCTTTTTACTTGTGTCACCTCGGCTAACATCAAGAGCTCCACTTGTGTTGGAAGGCACAGACCACGTGCCAGACACTGGTCTTTACATTGATTATTCCATAGAATCCTGATGACAGCCCCATGTCGGTGGTACTGTATTCTGTCACCACCCTCAATTTGCCGATGAGGACACTGAAACACAGTCGTTTTGCCAGTTTCCAGCTGGCCTGCCACTATCATCGATCCTTTTTGTTGTATGTTTCTCCTTTTCCTTTAGGGATGATTTACATGCCGTCATGTGTACAGATCTCAAGTGTACAAACATGGACACACTTGTACAGCTACCACTGAGATCAGGAACTAGACCATTTCTAGTGTCCCAGAAAGTTTCCTTGTCCCTCTTTCCAGTCCATTCCCCTCCAAGTGGCCAAGGGTGACCGCTTTCTGATTTCTCCCCTTATATTAGCATCTGTTCTTGATGGCATTTTTACGTCTGGCTTCTTTCCTTCAGCAGAGTATCAATGAGCTTTAAGCCATGTGTCCTGAGTAGCAGTGTCTTGTACTCTCTGTTTTCCATTGCATGGAAACAACACAACTTGATTGTCCGTTCTCAGACTGATGGGTATTTGGAATGTTTCCACTTCTTTTCTATTATGACCACAGCCACTGGGGACATTCGCATACATGTCTTCTGGTGGATGCATTCCCACCATGGCTCTTAGGCGATGCTGGATTGCACAGTATGTAGCCTGGGCTCCTAACCCCTGCTCCATCCTGCCCCTCAAACAGCACAGCAGCCCCGCCAGGCAGTGAAATGTTATCCCATTTCACAGAGGAGGAAATGGAGGCTCAGAGAGGTTGAATGGTTTGTAGGTGACTTGGCCAGCAAGGGGCTGAGCTGGGGATCCAGACCCTAGGGTTGGAGATTTGGCCCTGAGCTAGGTGGCTGATCCACTGCTTGGAATTTGATCCTTCCCTGGGGGCTCAAATCCTATTGGAAGGCCCTTTATGCCCTAGTATTCTTTGAAACATGAGGACAGGAAGGTCCTTTTCTGTATTTACTGGACTGGAGGTGCCGGCAGCAAAGGGATGAAAGGTGGGGATAGGCATGAACAAGAGGTAATGAGAGAAAAACTGAATCTCACTCCGGGGCAATGACAGGCTTCATTTCCAAGTTCTACTGTGTGATCTCAGAGTCTGTCACAGGCAGCTTGGGACGTCCCCAGCCCATGTCTCTGGACTGAGTAGCAGGACCACATCTGTGGTTGATACTGTCTGCCAAGTTTACAGTTTCCTTCTCTTCATGTAGTTCTAATGTTTCCCTGGAGGCAGGATGGCTGGGGAGGGTGTAGAATCCATCCCCATCCTCTAGCCAAACAGGCCTGTGTACTCCTCTGACTCAGGAATCATAGTCTTAAATTTTCAGGCCAACAGCCCCAAATACCGTGAAAAAGGCAATGCCATAAAAATGCAATGGCCCATGGGCCCCCAAGCCCCAACAGCCCTGGCTGGCCAAGGGGCCCACCCCTGACACTTCTGAATCTCGCTATCGGGTGGTTTCTAGCTTTCACACCGCTCAGCTTTTGTGTCTCAGGCCCTTCTGCAATCACTGGGCTGATCTCCCACGGAGGCTCTAAATTCCTCTTTCCACCAGCAAGGTGTCCTTTTCCCTGCCTTCCTGCCAGGGGTAGGTGTTATCATTAAAAAATGCTATCTCATTCTCTGATTATGTCTGTCCCTGACTAGTGAGGTGTCACGTCTTGCCACATGTTTATTAGTGGATTTGGTCTGCTGCAGAGATGCTCAACTGGAGGCAGTTTTGCTCCTCTCCCCTAGGGACACGCGGCGATGTCTGCAGACATTTTGGGTCGTCACATCTTATTGGTGTGTGTGTGTGTGTGTGTGTGTGTGTGTGTTTGCTGCTCACATCTAGTGCCCAGAGGCCAGGGATGCTGGGGAACATTCCACAAAGCTCAGGACAGCCCCCACAGCAAGGAATGATCAAGGCAAAATGCCTGTAGTTCTGTGGCTGAGAAATCCTGCTTCACTGTAAATTGCTGGTAAGACATTTTGTCTTGGAAGAAAAAAAAAAAAAGAATCCATTTGGAGATGCTCTTCACCATGATAGACATTAGCCCTTCATCTGTCATCTATGCTGCAAATATTTCCTTTATTCTGCCCTCTTTTAGTTTCGTTTATGGTCTCTTTTACCACACATACAAAACTTAATGTAGTCAAGTCATCTTCCACTTATGTAACAGCCTCTGAGTTTCCCATCTTGGTTGAGGTTTGAGGTCCCCCACCCGACCCCTGTTTAATGCATGTGGGTTTCCTACTTCCACTTTTTTTTAAAAAAGCTTTTATTTTTCTTCTTTTTTGAAAAAGATTTTATTTATTTGTTTGACATAATAAGAGAGAGAGAGAGACAGACAGACAGAGAGTGAGAGACTACAAGCAGGGGAGAAGCAGAGGGAGAGGGAGGCTCCCTACTGAGCAGGGAGCCTGACATGGGACTCAATCCCAGGACCCTGGGATCATGCCCTGAGCCCAAGTCAGATGCTTAATGGAATGAGCCACCCAGGCGCCCACAATTTCTGTTGAGGTTTCTATTGTTCTATTCATTAAGCCTTAATCCCATCTGGAACTGATCTTTCTAAGTGGAGACCGGTGAAGGTCCAGATATTTTTTTTCCAGCTTGGAAAAAAAAAAAAACAGTTGTGGTTTTAACATAGCTCAAATTCACTATCCTTTTCCACTGAATTAAAACCCCTATTGTGTATTAAATTTACACACGCACGCGTGCACATGTGCACATACTTCTGGGCTCCATCTTTTTCCCTGATATTTGTCAGTCTCAGTAATAACAACAGATCTTGATGATGTGGCTTTGTGGTATGTAGTACGTGCAGGCCAGTTGCCACCTCTGTTCTTTTCTTTCCCCTTAAATACTTTATTGGTTAGTTTCAGAAATTTCTTCTTCTTCATTATTCATTCTTAGGTCCCCAAAGAAAGTTAAGGGGAACCTCTCCTTCCTCCCAAACTGAGCTGTGTTGCTCTGCCTTCTATGTTTGTAGCCCAGGGTCCTTTCCCTCCATGTGGCTGAGCAGAATTGTCAATAGATAGTCATTGGGTACACCCTCCTGCCAGCCTCACTCTGTGCCGGGTCCCCAGCAGGGGCACAGTGCCTGGCACATGGCCCATGCTTGTTAGATATTGGCTGAATTGATGACAAATGGGTAATACACTTGTACTTTTTCTTTTCTTTTTTCTTTCTTTCTTTTTTTCTTCTTTTTTCTCTTTCTTTCTTCCTTTCTCCTCCTCCTCCTCGTCCTCCTCCTCGTCCTCCTCCTCCTCCTCCTCCTCCTCCTCCTCCTCCTCCTTCTTCTTCTTCTTCTTCTTCTTTTGTAAACATGAAAACAAGTTTTATCTCTTGTGCTGACCAAGACAGTCACAGGGTGGTTTAGTCTTTGTCACTGTGAAAGTGTGGCCTTGAGCAGGTATCTCCCCTGCCTCAGTTTTGCTACTCATTGCACCAGCCCTGATGAGCCCCAACCTCCCCCCACTGTGACACAGGATCCTGACAGGGCTGAAGCGTTCTTAGAAGGAGACACACCACACAAAGCAAAGCACCAGGCTGCCATCACGGTGGGCACAGGGCTGGGGGCCCTAATACTTTTAGGGGCCCACAAAAAAGTTCTGATTTCTTTTGAAGTCAAGAGAAAAAAAACTGAACTTTTAGGCAGAAGAAAATGTTTTCACTAGGGAGAAGGTGGTTGGATTATGGACACTGGGGAGGGTATGTGCTAAGGTGAGTGCTATGAAGTGTGTAAATCTGGCAATTCACAGACCTGTATCCCTGGGGCTAATAATACATTATTATATATAATACATTATTAAAAAAATAATAAATTAAAAAAATTTTAAAAAAGAAAATGTTTTCACATATAACAATACACTCGTCTTTCTCCAATGCAGTCATAAAATAAAATTTTAAGTATATTTTAGGTGAGGAAGGGGCCTCTGAAGGCAAGGGCCCACAAGAGTCACAAGGTGGCCTGGTTAAACACAACCCAGATGAGGGAGGTAAATAATTGGCATTAGGAGCATAAGAAGTCCAAGCAGAGTAGACATGTAAGGAGGAGGAATAAAAGAAAGCAGCTCCTTGTCTGGGTATTGCCAGAGACAAGAACACACAAGCTGGAAATGGGTGCAGGAGACTTCTTTGTCCTCTGGGCTGTTCCCTGAGCAAACCCAGACCTGAGCTGGCACAACAGAGCGGAAGAGTGCAGCAGCCAGACAGACCTGGATTCTGGACCTGGCTGTACCTCATGCTGCCCGTGTGACGCGGGAGTAGTCAGCCTCGGGGAGCCTCAGCTAACTCATTGGGAAAACAGTAACAATAACACGCTTTTCTTCATAGGACTGTTAATTATTTAAACCATCACTCAACATAGGTTGAGCACCGCCTGTGGTCCAGGCGCTGTCCTTGGTGCTGAACACATACACCAGTGTGTCCCCATGCATCCAGCCTGGTGCCTGGCACGGAATAGTTCAGTAAATATATGTTGAATTAAGAAATGGAAAATAGGCTGGGGTACCAAAACTAAAATAAGTGAACACATACATAATGCATAGATAATGATGAACATAAACTTAAACTTATAAATATGCGAAGTGCAATGAAAAGGAAAGTGAGGTGCCAGGAAGGAAAAGAACAGGACATGATGACCAAGAGGGAGACAGGAGAGGACAGCATTGGTTCAGATGTAGCATTCTGGGTGGGCTTCTCAGAGAAGGTGACATTCCAGAGAGGGCCTGAAGCGGAAGGATGAGTGACTATTGTGGGGAGAGCTCCTGCCCCCGCCCTGTTCTCTCTCCCAGTCCCTGTCCCTGTGGTTGCAGGCATCCAGCCAGCACTCTGGAGCAGGGAGGACGTGTTGTACTGGCTGCGCTGGGCTGAGCAGGAGTACTCTCTGCAGTGCACTGGGGAGCATGGGTTTGAGATGAACGGCCGAGCCCTCTGCATTCTCACCAAAGATGACTTCCGGCTTCGTGCACCTGGTTCAGGTCAGGGGAACTCACTGGATTCCCTCTAAAATGTTCTGATGGAAACTCAGGTAGGCCCAGGAGGGAGACGAAGGGAGATGGATGCATTGGTTGGAGAAGCATGCTCACCTCTCAGCATGGCAGACGTCCCCCTTTCCATAAATGTTTGCCTGGTCGTTCCTTGCAAAGGCAGGCCTGCGGCAAAGGAATCTGTTTGGCCGTTGTTTGCAGAGACCCATTTCCCCTCTGCTTCCCCATGGCTCTTGTCTTCTCTACCCACTTCCACTCTGCCACTTCTCATCGCATCAGCACGAAGCTTGTGCCTGACCCCAGCCATCGCCCCAGAGTCAGGTGACTGACTTGCTCCCTTCCTCCACTCCTAGGTGACGTCCTCTATGAGCTGCTCCAGTATATCAAGACCCAGAGGCAAGCCCTGGTGTGTGGACCCTTTTCTGGAGGGGCCTTCAGGCACAAGGTGTCCACTCAGTGCTGCCCCTGCCTCCTGGAAGGTGAGGAGATCTTCTCAGAGCTCTGGGACTCTCCCCCAAGTTGGCCTTACTGGGAAGGATGGCAAGGCTTCCTCTAGGCAACCTAAGGGAAGAAGCAGCTGTGTGGGCTGAGCTCCCAGCTCCCCTCTGCCCTGCCTCCTTAGCCCTCACCCTGGCCCCTGTGACTCTCTGGGCAGTCCTCCTCCTCCTGTCTCCTCATTTCTCTGCCCTCTTCTCCAGCAAAGCATTTCCTCTTCTTCTGATCTCCCTGTGGAAATTGTCCTTATTAGGGATTCTAGCAGCCTGAACATGGGGATGTCCACATCCACCATCAGTCCTTATCTATTATCATGGCCTACAACCCAGTGGGTCATCCCCCCCTCCCCTCAAACTCTTCCCTGGGTTCCCAGAACACTCCACAGTCACTCCTTCTCAGTTTCTGGCTTCTCTTTTTCTTCCCTATTTCTCAGTGTTGGGGTACCCCACGGCTTGGGGGGCTTTTCTCTATCTGGACTCAGACCTAGGGTTTTAAATACCATCTAGTACTAATGATCCCTACATATGCCCAGACCTCTGTGATTTCTAGATTTTCACACCCCACACTGCCTACCCTACACCTCTCCTGGGATGTCTAATGGGCATCTGAACCCTAAAAGCTCCTAAAGCAAACACCTGATTCCTGTCCCACCACCCTCCCCACAGCCATGCTCCTCTTCCAGGCTTCCTCATCTCAGAAAACTGCAACATCATCCTCCCAGTTGCTCTGGCCAAAATGTTGGACATCACCTTTGATTGCTTGCTTTATCTCCTGCTCAAATCCCCACCATCAACAAGTCCTATTGGCTGTATCCTCAAAATCTATCCAGAACCCACTCACTTCACACACTTCCCCTGCTGCCCATGGCCCAGCCCTCATGACCAGAACTCACCCACTTCACACACCTCCCCTGCTGCCCATGGCCCAGCCCTCATGACCAGAACTCACCCACTTCACACACCTCCCCTGCTGCCCATGGCCCTCTTGACCTCCTATCATCTATTCACAATAGAGTAGCTAGAGAGATCCATAAGTCAGATCCTGTCATTTCTATGCTCAAAATCTTCCGATGGATCCCATTATACTCAGAGTCAAAGCCACAGTCCTTACAATGACCTCCTGTCCTCTGTCCTCTCCCACCCCTCTCGCACTTGCTCATGCTGGTCTACCCGCAGTGGCTTCTTCATTGAACAAGCCAGAGACACTCTTGCCTCAGGGCCTCTGCTTGCTCTGCCAGGAATTCCCTCCTTTAGATACACACATAGCTCACTTCTCTACTTCCTTCACATGTCTGTTAGATGTTAACACTTCAGTGAGACCTTCCTGTACCATTATGTACCTCTGTCTTTCCCAGGATTTCCCATCTGCCTTATAATGTTTTATTCCATCCCCCCTCACATTATATATTGTTTCTATTTCCTTTTTTATTTTTATCATCTCTCTCCCTTTCCAACCACTATTCCCCCTTTCCCCCACTGCTACAACACAAGCTCCATGACAGCAGGGCCTCTGTTTTTCAGTTCAGTGGTATGTCCTCAAGGTTTTTAGAACAATGCCGGCTCACAGAAGGTTCTCAATAAATATATTTTTGGGTGCATAGAGAGGACATAGGACTGAGATACAAGGCATCTGGATTCTGGACCTGGTTCTGTCATCCCCTGGTTTTGCAAACATTTTACGGTTGAGGGAATAGGTTTGAGAGATTGAGTTACTTGTCTGGGAGCTGGGGTTAGCACCTGGTCTATCTGGCCCTCACCCTTGCCCTCTGTGCCTCCCTGACCTTCCAGCTGGGAACTGGATGGGGGAAGAGCATTAGAAGTGCTGCCCACAGGGCTCCCAGTCATGCCATTAAGGGGTCTGGGCTGGGGGAGGCTCTGGGCCCACAGAATCAATGGTACTTACCTGCTTGCAGAGGGGACTGGGTCACTTCCGTTGGCTCCTGGAAGCAATCTCCTGCAGCAGCCATCACACCTGGGGCTGGCCAGCTCCTCAAGTCCCCTGGCCAAGTGGCCCCTCAGCAGGGAGGAGTCCCTCAACGTATCACACTGTGCGGAGCTGGGCTGCAGGGCTAAGGGAGCCTGCTCCTTCCCCACCATGCCACAGGCCCCCATCGATGGCAGGATCGCTGGTGAGTAGGAGACCATGTGCCCCTGGCCCAGAGGGAAGTGTGCTGAGGCCAAGTCCCAGGGGTGGGTGGCAGGGAGGAGGGCTGTTTTCAGCTTGAGAATGAGTCTGTGCTGGGTTGTTGGGGGATATAGGGTGACTGTCCGTATGCCGGCCACAATCTGGCCACAGCAGGCAGCGCTGTCCAGGGTCGCCAAGCCCACCCTTTCTCCAGGGCAGGGACAGTGAAGCCGGTCATAGTCAGTGAGATTGGCATGGCCTACTCCTCTCCTTCGAATTTTTATTTATTTCTTTTTAAATGGTTGGGTGCTTACTGGGTGCTGGGTGTGATTCTGAGAACTTTATTTAATCCCACACCAGCTTTTGGAGGTTTGTGTTAGACCCATTTTATAGGAAGGAAATGAGGCAAGGAGAGGTTAAGTGACTCCCCCAGGATCCATCACACAGCAGTAAGTGGCAGAGCTGGGGTGTGACCCCAGGAAGTCTGGCTTCAAAGCCTGAACTCTAAGCAGGTGACATAATTCCTCTCTACATTCATCAGTAAAGGGTTGATTAAAGGCCGCCAGACAGACTGACAGATAAACCGCCTGCTTAACCACCGCCAAGGGGTGGTTTGTTCTAAGACACCACAGAAGGGGCAGAAGCCTAGCTTCTGGGTTGGAAATGGCTGGGAATCACTAAAACACAAATATCAGGTCTTTTTAATAATGATGCTTAATATTCTTTGAGCACTTGGGGCGCCTGGGTGGCTCAGTGGGTGAAGCCTCTGCCTTCAGCTCAGGTCATGGTCTCAGGGTCCTGGGATGGAGCCCCGCATTGGGCTCTGAGAGCCTGCTTCCCACCCCCCTGCCTACTTGTGATTTCTCTCTCTCAAATAAATAAATAAAATATTCTTTGAGCACTTACTCTGTACCAGACCCTGGGCCAAGGGCTTTTGAGTTTATGTTACTTAATCCTCATATCACCACCTATAAGGAAACTGTGGCTTGGAAGAGGTTAGGGAACCTGCTGGAAATGACCCAGCTGCAAGGCTCAGGGAGGGGGACTAAATCTCTTGCTCCCAGGCCCCCTCTGCCACTTGTCCTCCAAGATGGCACATTTGATTTCCTCAAGGCCTCTCCCCGGGGGCTCGACAGGGTAGATTTAATAATCCCAATTTAATGGAGAAGCCGCTGAAGGGATGGATCTGGAGACAGGTGCAGGCCACTGGCCACCCTCTGGCACCCCCACTGCCTGCCCTTGCCACCATGAAGGATGTTGGCTAGGTTAGACATCTTGGTCTAGGTCACTAGGAGACTTCGGTGACTGGGGAATCTGTCCATACCTCTCTGAGCCCATTCCATCATCTTCCTGGGGATAAAGGTAACCACTTCTTAAAGTTATGGGGAATAAATGAGGCAATGAGCCCCCACACGTGACTGGTTCTGTTGAAGCTGCCATCTTGACCATCCCACTGCATGCCTGGGCCCTAGCCTAGAGAGCACCAGAGCACCTTCCTAATACCTGTCCTCATAGCTCCAGGAAAGCTTTGTCTACACCCCTGTGCTCAATTGCAGACTGCCGGCTGCTGTGGGATTATGTGTACCAGCTACTCTCTGACCCCAGGTACGAGCCCTACATCCGGTGGGAAGACAAGAATGCCAAGATCTTCAGAGTTGTGGATCCAAACGGGCTTGCCAGACTCTGGGGAAACCATAAGGTAAACCACAGGCAGCAGGAGGGGTGGCCTCCACACATCCAGAAGAGGACAGAGCAGGGGTTCAGAGTGGACCTGTCAGCACTAGGGGATGGTCCTCAACTGACCGGGGAGGGGAGGGTGTCCCCAGCTTCCCTAGCAGCTCCAGGAGTGTTGGGATCAATTTATTCTGGGAGATCCTGGGGACAACAGGATGTTACTTCTGAAGGATGGGGACTGTCCCTGAAACTCAGGGGTCTTGCCATCTACTCACTCAAACCCACTTTTGCTTAGCACTTGAGACTCTCAAAGCATTTTTACTTGAATTGTGCAATATGTGCTGTGGGGCAGTTGGGCCAGATGAGGAGACCAGTTTCCTGGTTTCCTGGAGAGAGCTGGGGTAGAAACCCAGGTCTCAGGTCTTGTGTGGCTCTGGGCTCTACTCTATTTTAAAGATTGGTTGATTGATGGATGGATGTATTGATTTGTGGTGGGAGAGGCAGAGGGGGAGGGAGAAGAAGAAAAGCAAACTCCCCGCTGAGCAAGGAGCCCCACTCGGAGCTTGATCTCACTACCCCAAGATCATGACCGGGGAGGAAATCAAGAGTTGGGCTCTCAACCACCCGTGCCACCCACGCAGCCCCGCGGTGCCCCCTCTTGTTGCCTCTCAGTGTATTGGTGGCTGGAAGGATGTAAATGACTCAAAGCTGCATGTGTTCACCTGGTCCAGTCCCCATGTAGTACAGGGAGGGAAACTGAGGCCCAGAGAGCAGCAATTCCATTTAATGAGCATATGCTACATGCCGAGCACTGTGCTAAGTCCTCGCAGGGTTTAGCTAATTTAGTCCTCACAACACACCTGCAAGATGAGTGGTCTTATCCTCATTTGAAGGCCAGGGAAACGGATGCAGAGAGGCAAGGAAACTTATCCGAGGTCCTGCAACTGCCAAATGGTGGAGCTGGGGCTTACGGTGACATTAAAGCCCAGCCTCTTTGCCCTTACTCTGCACTGTTCACCCCTCAGAGAGAGAATAGATAAAATGACTTAGCTAAAGTCACACAGCTCGTGATTTCCTCCTACTGCTGTGCTCCCCTTCCCATGCTGTCTCTCTGACTGTGTTTTCAACTAAATATATATGTATTTGTTGCTCCAGGTGACATTTGCTATTTAAAAACAATGCGTGAAGAGTGCTAGGGTCGTTCAGTTGGTTAAGCATCTGCCTTCGGCTCAGGTCAAGATCTCGAGATACTGGGATCGAGCCCCACATCAGGCTCCCTGCTCAGCATGGAGTTGATTTCTCCCTCTGCCCCGCCCCTCCTGCTTGTGCTCTCTCTCTCTCTCAAATAAATAAATAAGATCTTTTTAAAAAAATTTTTTTAAAGTAAATGCAACAGCTGATTTACTCCTGCCCCATGGTTCTCAACCCTGTAGGTAGTGCTCATTATTTCTCCTCCATCCTTCCCCTGCCTTTCTCCTTCCAAACTCAAAAGACTCTTAGAAATGCTGACAGCAATCTGGACTGAAGGGGTTAAGAAACCACCCAGTTCAATCTGCTCCTTCCTTTTTCTTTTTCTTTTCTTTTCTTTTTTTTTTTTTTTTTAAGAAATGGGGGGAGTAGAGGATGGGAAGCAGGGAGACAGAGACAGACACTTTTTTTGAGAGAGAGTGAGAGTGACCATGGGGAGGGGCAGAAGGAGAGGGAGAGAGAGAATCCCAAGCAGATACCTGGCTGAGTGTGGAGCCCGTCGTGGGACTTGATCTCCCAGTCCTGAGATCATGATCTGAGCTGAAAGCAAAAGCCTATGCTTAACCACCTGAGCCACCCAGGTGCCCCCAACCTGCTCCTTTCCAGGTGTGGAAACAGAGGCTTGGAAGGAGTGGGGTGGGGAGAGGAGGGTGATGTGGGACTGCTTTGCCTTCTAGAACCGGGTGAACATGACCTATGAGAAGATGTCTCGTGCCTTGCGTCACTACTATAAGCTGAACATCATTAAGAAAGAACCCGGGCAGAAACTCCTATTCAGGTGAGTAGCCTAGGGGCCAAAGTGAAAAGGGGAAGTGATGGTGTTGGGTGGGCTGGAAGCAGCTGGGGCAGGAGCTGATTTGCAACTGGGGCTTGACTTCCAGATTTCTGAAGACACCCAGCAAGGTCAGCCAGGATGAGGACAGCCGCCTGGAGCAGCCAGAGAGCCAGGAGCAGGACAGGATGGATTTCAAGGAGAAGATGCTGGAAGTCTCTCCGTGAGGGTCAGGTGGATTCTGGGCACCAAGCACTGATGGACAGAAACTGAGTATCCCTTGATGGCAGCTAGCTGCCCGTCTCTGCCTTCCTCACAGAGCAGCAGGGATCCCCAATGGGTTTTGCACTCACAGGATCATCACTGTTGTCTCAGACCTCAAAGCTGCCTGGGCACCCGGGAGGCTGAGAACTGGGAGGTTTTACATTCTGGACACTGTGGGGGACATCGTTCTTGAGTAAGGCAGCCCTGGGGCTCAGTGGGGCATGAGAATGAACTCTCTCCCTGCCCTACCCCTTGCTACCTGCTCAGCTTGGGAGCAGTTGCTGGGCACCGAAAGAGTCTCCAACTCAGCTCCTTCAACTTACAGAAGAAGGTAGCAGGGGCCCCTCACGGAGCCTTAGCTCCTTCCTCTTTTGTAAGAGGGACCTGTCAGTCTTAGTAATAACATCTAACAATGCTAACTGACATTGAAGTGACCCCTGTGTACCAGGCCTCTTACTAAGGGTCCTGTCCATATTTTATCTCATTCCATTCACACACCAAACCCCCAAGGTTTAAAGATGGGGAAACAGAGGCAAGGCTTGCAGAGCTTGGATGTCTCTTCAGAACACAGCACTGTTCCTTGGCTGGTCGGTTGGTGTTAATGATTCTGCGTGTCTCTGGGGCCTTTAGTGACTCTGGGGCCCTTCTCAAGCCAAGGCCATGGCCCTGCCTCACTGCCCTCAGCATCTCTGGTGAATGGTTCGTCTCCCTTGGCCCAACCTTCTTTCCTGCTTTCATTCCTTTGGTGACGCTGTGACTATGACCCAGCCGAGAGGACCTCTGCCTCCTGAACCTGTGGTCTCCTACCCACACCTGCCACATGACCTTGGGCAGGTTGTTGTCTCTCTCCGGAACCTCAGGCTTCTCTGTAAAATGCAGATGCTGTTCCCAATCTGACATCACAGGATTGCTAGAAATCTCCGTAAGACAACAGTGGTGACATGCTTAGAGTGTGCTTGCTCCGTAGGGACCACTTAGTCTGTGTTCACCAAAAACATGCCACAAACCCAACTGAATCTATGTTCAGCTTCTCTTCTTTTATCCCCAACGCCCCAGGAGTGGCCGGGGCCTCGCCAGGGGATCAGAGCCTCTGCCCTGTAACCCTTCCAGTAAGGTTTGCGGGTGAAAGGGAAGGGGATATTTTTACTTCATTGAAAACAGAACTTCTTGGATTCACATCTTCTTTCTCAGCAGGAGGAAACCTCTGCCTCCTGACCCCACCCCCCACCCTCCCGCAGGTCAGGAAATCCCCAGCCTGAGAGCCTGAGCAGACTCTGAGTCACTGTGCAGAAGCTGATAAGGATTCCTGGACTTTGGCCCTCAGAGCTGCCACCACTCCTGTGCAGGGCTTCTGTCCTGGCTGAGCCCTGCCCCCGGCTCTGGACAGTTCCACGCCAGGGAGTAAAGGCTCACTACAAAAATCCTTGGTCTCAGGGCACCTGGGTGGCTCAGTGGGTTAAGCCTCTGCCTTCAGCTCAGGTCATGATCTCGGGGTCCTGGGATCGAGGCCTGCATCGGGCTCTCTGCTCAGCGGGGAGCCTGCTTTCTCCTCTCTCTCTCTATGCCTGCCTCTCTACATACTTGTGATCTCTCTCTCTCTCTGTTTCAAATAAATAAATAAAATCTTTAAAAAAAAAATCCTTGGTCTCTTTCCTCTCTCTTGAAACTGCTCCATCTCCTTGACTTTGGTCCCGGGTGAACCCTTGCCCCATAGCTTTTCTCAGCATCTCTAACCCAGAACTCCACAACTAGACTGGGAAAGCCTTTCAAAATCCACTTGTCCAGCCTCTCCTTTTATTGATAAGGCAACTGAGGCCAGAAATGGGGAGGGACGGGCTCAAGGACAAACAGCCCAGCTCAGCCTGGCCGACTCCTCACATTGCCTCAGAAGTCACTTTTTCCAGGTACGATGTTGGCATTTTTTTGAGGCATTCGTTCGTGGTTGTCAACAGCAGTGTATCCCGGGGGCTACGTCTTCACCCAGGGTGATGAATCCCACCCAGCACTAGACCCATGGGGTCTGGGCTTGGGCAGAATCTACCACCCCAGAGTCCGAATGCCCGGTCATCCCGCTCAACCCCGAGGGAAGCCCACCCTTTCCCCATCTCCCCAGGCACATCAGGCCCAGGTCAGCGATATCCACCTAGGTGCCATGAATAAAAGGATTCATCTAGCCCTTCCTTCCACCAGCGTTAATGGAGCACTTGCTGTCTATCTGGCACCAGGTGAGGCTCTGGGTTTACAACCATTTTTGGCACAGATTCCTGAAAAGTGATGGGTCACTGAAAACAGGTCAAGATGGACTTCCTCACAGATCATTTTTAAAAAGCAAGAGATAAATTTTCATGATTTGAAAAAGTAGCCAGCCATGTTTGTCTCTTATTTTTTTTTTTGCCAAATAATATTGAAGTCAAAAGTAAATAAATAATTTATTTAAAAACGGAGTGTGTTAAGAAGTTCATTAATGAAATAAATGACACAAGTCACGGTCTCCATACAGTCAAGCCACTTACGCATTCACCCAGGAGCATGGGCTCCATGATTCTCCATTTCTGCTACGTGGGTTCTTGCAAACAGTCTTTTTCTCCTCACAAGGAAGTTCCACTTCTCCCCGGCTTTACTGAGATGTGATTGACATATGGCACCACGTAAGTTTGTGGTGACAACATCTAACACTTCCTTCAATCCTGGTGATACTGCCATTTCTTGGGCTCTTAGGGGAAACCTGAGCTGATGCTTGTGACCTGTTGTCCCTGTCGTGGAGGAGCCTAGCAGTGACCATCGTTCTTGACTTCTTCCTCTGGTCCCTCCCCATGATGTCAATCCGCATTTTCTACTCAAGTCTTGTCTGGGAAAGTTTTATAGAGATGCACAGAAAACACATACATTTACAGAGCAAGGGCTTGTTACCTCCAAACTATCCAGCCTCTGGAGATACCTGCCAAGGCACTCTTGGCTCAGAAGGAGTCTGGGAAACGACCAGCCCCCTCCTGTGTGCCCACTTAGCCCCTCAATGGGACTTCCAAACTAAGCTGCCACGGGGGCCAGCTCCAAGATTTGCGTGGGGAGTTCAAACCATGCGGTTCTGAAATCAGGATACGCCCATGTAAAAAAAAAGATTTTAATCATGAACTTAAATTCCTAAATCCTTTTAAGTGAATTGTGGATGTGGGGAGGGGTGGGGCTGGCATCTGAAGGAGGGTGCAGCCCTGCCTTTGGGAAGTTCACTCATCAGTCCTTGTCGCAGTCTTCAGGGAGAGGTGTAATGAGAGGCATGTCCCCTGGAGACAGTGGGGGACAAGGTGGCGCTGGGAGGTGCCAGAGAGAACACCCCTAGGAAGGATCATAGAGGCTTCTGCTCTGTTTTTCCCTTTTTTTTGGAGGGCCTGGAGGTGTGGTGGGGCTGTGGGCTTCATGATCACGAGGAGTTGAGGGTAGGTCAGGGGCTGACAGCAGAGGCCCGTCCCTGGGGGGAGGGGGCAAAGGGGTCACCAAGTTACATGCTTGGGTCAGCCTTGCTATCAAGGCAGGAGAGTAAACCAGGACCGGGGCTGACACTCCCGTAAGGGTGAAGAGCGCCTTTGGGAACAGGGAGGGGTCGTCCTGTGTCGGACCCTTGAGGGCCTACCAGAGAAAACTCCCGACAGCACCTGTCGCACATACCCCACTTCCTGGGGCAGCTGATGCTGGGAGGAAAACACGTTATATAGAGCCAGTGCACAAGGAGCCTTCAAGGGGTCACTCAGCAGACTATCAAACTGCACTCCATGCCAGGGTTTTCTGCCCTGCCTCCCAGAGGCCTGGCCGGCTGCTAGGCCTGGAATCAACTGTTCATTAAAACCGTGCCCTTTCCTCAGAACTGAAGTGAAACCAAAAGGAGAAGAGGTGAGAGGAGCAGCTGGCCTGGGACAGGGCTCTGCACGGGGCAGGGAGCACATCTCCCTCGGGGACAACTGAGCCCCGGGCTTCACCACCCAGAGCAGAAGGAAGGCTGGGCCAGGAGCCGGAGCCCATTTCAGTGCTTTAGGGGGGCTGAGCATAATCTAACACTCACCTTAGATGGGGCTGCCCTGGCCCACTGAGCTTCCGAATGTCTATGCTTTTGTTGATGACACAAAGCCCGTGGTCCTGTTGACAGGTAATGCCCATTGCAGCTTCAATGGGGCCGTTGTAAGGGCCTCTGATGATAATAAATGATGCAATCAGGTAATAAACATAATGAGAACATGCGTTTTGGTACACAGACTCTTCCAGGATAAGAGTCCATGGGGAAAAACACTTTGAGAGAGTTTATTTTTGTTTTTGTTTTATTGTTGCTGTTGCTTTTTTCTGGGGCTGGTTTCACAGAAACTCACGTGGAACTGAACCGGGAAGTTTTTGCTCCTGGGCAAAGACAATTCAAGGTCACTCCAATCCCAGGGACATGCCTTAGCAAGCCCTGAGTCCCGCTAATAATAAATCCTCCCCGTAACCGTTGCCTCTCTGGAGCCTGCCGATGCCTGGCCGGGCGCGGAGGCCCCACCGAGCTCTCACAAATTAATGCAGACCCCGGTGAAACTGAGAGCGTCTACTCTGTCTTGGGGACCCTCGGGCTCTGGGCTTATCCCTGGGAAAGGGCTGCAGTTTGAAGACATGTCCACCAGATGGCGCAAAGCCTCTTTTGTAAGAGTGTAGGAGCCCATGGTGGGCTCACTGCACCTGCTCTGGGTGGGGGCGAGTCTGCCTTCTCCTACCAGGACGTGAATACAGATCTCCAACCCAAGCATACCCCGTAAGCAGACATCCAGCCCCGGCTTAAACACCTCCGGGGACGGGGTCAGGGTAAGTAGTGGGGGTTGGGAGAGAGGGCGAGGAGCAACCTATTCAGTGATAATGTCACCCATCCTTTCCCAACACTCGGCCCATGGGTTTCTAAAATCCCTAGCACCAGGCTCTTTGTTGTGAATAATTTAGTATCTCCATCTCTAAATCTCTTATCACCTTATCCTTTAGTAGTTTATCAAGAGTCTGAACAGTGGCTCAGACATGATTTTTCAGTCTGGGACGCGGCCAGGGGCATGTCAAAAGTCACTCTACCTGCCCACTCTCCTGCCCGCCCCCCGGACCTAGATAAGGAACCCGAAGGACTGAGACTACCTGAGTTCCCTGGTGGCTTTCGTGAAGGCAGCCTCCTGGGCCTCGGTTTCCCTATCTGTAAAGTGACTAACAGCTTCCCTTACCCTGACTGCCACATTAACTTGTTGAGAAATTGTCAATGAAATGATGCATTCATATATTTACCAGATATTTATTGAGCACCCCCTATAAGGTAGGCACTGTTCTAGAAAGTAGGGAAGACGTAAGGAAACAAGAAATGGCACATCTGATATCAGGCGGTGCAGTAAATGCCATGAAAGGAGATACAATGGAGTCAAGGGAAGGGGGAGCATTCTAAATTGGACTGTCAGAGATGTCACAAGCATGTGAAAACAGGAGCGAGTCATCTCCCCCGACAGCCATTTCCCCCTGTACTGTCTGTCCCCCTTCTCTGTGGCCTGTAGTTCCTACTGTGAAAGTGAGACAGATGGTGTTTCTGAGTGTTGAGATAGATACTGTTGTTAGTTTCTGTTATGTGCAATCAGAAGCAATCCTAGTAGATATGAATAGTGCAGACGGAAAGGCTGGGAAGGGAGAAGACCAAACTGACCCAGAGCTGCTCCTCTCTAGTCCCCTCTTTTCCCCTCGGGGGAACCACAAGCTAAGGCTGATGAGATCATCAATTCTCCTGAACAGGCCTCAGCTCTCCAGGTCAGGCCCGTCTACACATCTCAACTCAAGAAAGCACTGGGTGCTGTTGAAAGCTCTCTGACTGGAAAGCCCCAGGGTTCTAAATGTGGCTCTTGAAATCCCAGCAATTCTTACCAGGAGGAGATTTCCCTTCAATCACA